AGTTCACAGATCGGAGTTGTATACTCCCTATCTCTATGGCGTCACGGAAAGCGGCTTACAAACACGACAATAAGACGGTTAACAGATTTTGGCCGCCCATCAGCGGGATGACTACTGCCGTAATGGCCAACGCTGCGACATTTTCTCTCTTCTTTTGCACCTCCCTGATAAGCGCATCCAATCGGTGCTCTAAGGGTACATAACATGTACTAGTCCCCCCATAAAGGGATCGTATCATCCATCTCTTCGAAAAAATTAACCATTCAAGGATTAAAAAAAAGTTCATCGTGTGTGTCGCTGGAAAAGTGCATTATTAATGCACAGGAGATAAGCATGCATGTTTTGGTGTTGTAAACATCTGGCGCGCCCTTCAGTGTTTCCTTAGAAGCTGCCTCTTTAAAAAAAAGGACAGCATTTAAACTGAAAAGGGAACCTCTAAAATGGTACGTACCACTGGGATACACGGACGCACACAGACACACACTCATATACATGCATTATTTAATTATCTTTGTTGAAAAAAAAAAACTCCCACATTGATGTAATGAAAATAATTGCTCATTTTATGAAGCGTATATTTATGGGCTCTTGGGTGGAATCAACATGAAGGAAAAAAAAAAAAAATAGGCAGCTCAGGTGATTAATCCCCTACAGCTGCATTTTAACAGAGAAGAATGGCATGAAGCTGATTTGTAAAAAAAAAAGGTCGTAATGCACGAGGAGGCATCCCTTTTACCAGTGTGTTTCGTATTTTTTCCCCCGCTCCTTCCCTATGAATCACTCTCAGTGCAATTTCCCCCGTTTACGCCGACCTTCGAGACTTCCCATTTGTCGTTATTCACATTGTCATCGTAATAACTATCTTGTAGGTCTCTTCTGATGGAAGAATTTTCGGATGCCCTTCGGCTCTTTCGTCTCCCTCTTGTGTTTTTCTTAGGCGACTGCTGCTTCGCTTTCACGCTCACACTTCTGCTCTTGCTTCGGCTTCCATCATAACGGTCTTTCTCACCATCCTTCAAACCACCATCGGCATTGTCTTCGATCCTATCTCTCACATTGGTAGAACCGACAATACTTCCTTCCTCATCGCTCTTGTACATATTTTCCTCTTCATCGTCTCCTCGTGTGCTCAGTTCTCTGTCGTTTTTAATTGCCTCCTCTCTTTCCTTATCCAAATAGTACTCATCCTCCTTATCTTTTCCCTTCAAAGAACTTCGCTGATCATACGCTACATGATCTGTGCTTTCGCTTCTATCCTTTCTGTTGCTCCTTCTTTGTCTCGTGCCGACCGTGGTCCCCGCTTCTCCGCTGTCGTATTTGTCCTTCCCGATGCTGCCGCTTCGACCACTTAACTGACTCTGTTTGTCGGTATCATTACCGTCCCCCCTTCTGTCTTCCTCATTTCCTGTGTCCACTCGATGGACTCTTTCGTTATCTCTTGAGGTTCCCCTTCTCTTATGGTTGTTCATGCCTCCCCTTCGGTGGTCTCTGTCCGACTTGTCCTGTTGCCCGTCCTCCCTTTCGTCTCTCCCAAATTTGTTCCTGTCGTGGTTCCTCCCATATCGATCATTCCCCCCATTCCTGTAACTCCCGTCATGGGGTCTTTCAAAAAAACGCTCCCTCCTGTAACCGTCCCTGTCCGCATCGTACCCATCTCGATGGTACATCCTATCCTTGTCACCAGAATAGTGCTGATGGTAATTACCCTCTCGTCTATCTTCACCCCCATTTCGGAACTTCATATAAAGAGGTGAATCAACAAATTTCATGACCTCCACGGCAACACCGTTCAGCTTACGACCGTTTAACACCTCCACTGCTTTCTTCACATGATCGTGATTGTAGTATTCTATTATTCCAAACCTGTCCTTATTATCGTCCTGAATGATATTGGAATAATTTACTGATCCAACATCCCTCCCGAAATCTTTCAGATCTTGCCAGCTAGTTTTTTCGTCTACATTTTTTAAGACAATTCGTAAGGAAATTTTCTTCTCTCCGATTTCATTTCTATTGGGAGAATAGTTCCTTCTATATCCGGGATAGAAACTCCGATTGTCATTTCGGTTCTGGAAATAGTTCCCCGCATGATGTGGCTGCACATTTAACTCTTTTCCAAGAAATAACGATCCATTTTCTTCCTTTATGGCAGTCTCTGCATGGGATATCTTCTCATATTCTATAAATGCATATTTGGTCTTCCACTGCAGATTTACAATATCGCCATACTTTATAAATTTTTTCCTTAGATCTTCTTCTCTTGCGTCGGGGGGTAGATTTCCTACGAACACTTTACATGGGTCCGCTTTTTTGTAGAAATAACTCCTCTCATCTCTTGGTCGTTCTCTTCTCATCATTCCAATATTGTTTCCCATTCGGTTGGAATCATTTTCGTATCCGTATCTTTCTCTGTCTCGACCTGGAGAATATCTCCTCATATTCATTCTTTCGTCGCGATCATGTCGGTACTCATATGTGTTTCTGTTGTAGGGTCCACCTGGGTGATACGGATGTGGGTGGCGCTCATATGGGGGGCGGTCATGTTGGGGGCGATCATATGGGGCGTGGTCATATTGTGGACGATCATGTTGGGGGCGATAATATGGTTGACGGTCATGTGGAGGCCGATCATATGGGGGACGGTCATGTGGAGGCCGATCATATGGGGGACGATCATGTGGAGGACGATCATGTGGAGGACGATCATGCGCAGGGCGATCATATGGGGGGCGATCATATGGGGGGCGATCATGTGGAGGACGATCATGTGGAGGACGATCATGCGGAGGGCGATCATGTGGAGGGCGATCATATGGGGGGCGATCATATGGGGGGCGATCATACGGTTGACGGTTGTTTGGATAACGCTCATTCGGATAACGGTCGTGCTCGTAGTGGCCTCCGTTTCTGTTGTCCCACTTTCCGCTCTGTTCCTTCTCGTACTTATACTTATCACCATGCTTTCGCTCTCCATTTCGATCGTCATACACCGTAGCGTTTCTGCTTCTGTCTCTGGAAAAGTTTCTCTTGGGATATTTGTCGGGGTATTTGTCCGGATATTTCTCTCTTGGGACCTTATTATGAGGTGGACTACGGCTGCGTGTGCGACTTTGGTTGTGTCCTCCTCGATTGGCGTCATGTCCGTTTTCTCGGTGGTGCTGTCGTTGTACATTCTGGTGATAATCTTTCCTGTCTATGGAATAATTTCGACCCCTTTCTACATTGGAGACTTCATTTCTTCTGTTGTAATTATCTACGGAAGACTTCCTATAACCGCCATGGTTGTGTTCATTCTTGTGATGGTATCTCCCTGCTGCAGTCATCTTATCTCGACTCAATGATGGATACCTCCTTCCTTCGTCCATGTAGAAAGTCTCCTTGTTATTTTTCATATGAAAAGTTTACTCGTTCAGGTGAGTGCAATTCTCCCCTTTCAACCTGTGCCTGTCTCGATGTCTATCTCTATATTTCTGTGATAATACTT